GTTCCTTAAACTAGGGGTCATGAAACCAAATGAGATGACGTGATTTGCTTCTAGGGTCGGCAAAAATTTTACGAATTTTGATATAAATTTTTAGATTAAATAACTGGTTCACAATTAAAAAATAACAATTTAATTGTTTATTAAGGTATCCGACTACGTTCGGAACCGTAATTTTAAAAAAGCGCATAAATGGATAATTTTCCTGATATTTAGTGTCACTTAGATTAGAATACATATATAAAATTGTTTTAAGGACATTTTGACAAAAAAAAAGTTACATAAATACAATATTTCGGTAAAAAATTAACTTAGAATCACTTTTTTTCAAAATGCTCTTCTTTTGTAAAAAATGCTTCTATTATAATAATATTTTCCCTGTATATAGCTCAGACTTCTTTACAGAGGTTCAACTATGATTTTTGAAAAATTCACATTATTTTCAGAGTTACAACCCATTGAAATAATTATCGGCGTTTTTTTCTTAAAATTTCTCCCCTCGGTTGTCGTAAAACATGGATAAACTCACTTCTAAGTTATATATTTTAAAAATTCTAGTTAAGCCTCTGTACAAAGATCTAAACCATATACAGGCAAAATGTTATTATAATAGAAGCATTTTTCGCAAAAGGAGAATATTTTGAAAATGGGTCATTCTATGTTCATTTTTTTTAACAAAATATTGTACTTAAATGATTTTTTATTGTAATACTATTCTTAAAACAGTTTTATATACATTTTCTAATCTAAGTGAGATTAAATATTATAAATATTATCCATTTACACGCTTTTGCAAAATCACGGTTCCGAACGTAGTCGGATACCTTAAGATTCTTACAAAAATGCAACACATCCTTACCATCGATATCTAAAACTTATCAATACCGTTGTTAATAAAAGGAGATTTCAGAATTGAACTCAAAATGATTAAAACTAATAAGTAGGTTATATTTTATATCTAACTTACCTTGTAATTACATTACATAATTTTTTTTTATTTTGTAACTTAATTGAAATTCTTTATCATTATTATCAAAGTAAAAACTTTTTGTGGATGCTTATTTCTACAGAACTATAATATACAACAAATGAAACACATTCAGGATGGCTTAAGCTTGTGTCAACTTTGCGCAATGTTTATGTTATTGCACAAAATTTTTGTAAAAAAAAAATTGTCTCCCCCGTGAAAGGTTTAATAACCATTGCTCTAGAATACGTCTGAATTTCAATAAAGAGGCTTAGCTGTCTTTAAAAAGATTGATTTCGTCTGTGTCTTTTACCAATAGTATAAATTACAATGAATTTTTTAAATTCATTGAAAAAAAGAGATATTGTTATAAAAATTTGGTTGTAAATAATAAAAATCGCCTTCAAGGAATAGAAAAAAGAATATATAATAAAAAAAAACCAGTCACTACTCTCCTATAAAACTGCTTCAATGTGATACTCAAAAGGAAAAGAGGTCATTAAAAAGTAGTAAATGAAGTTATGATAAAAAAATATGTGCATATGGTTTAAAATATTTTGGAATATAAATGTTACACATTTGCACTGCATACGGAAATAAATCTGGGTTTGCAGAAAATTTACTTCAACGATTCAAATAGTTTTTTATTTTTGCATATTTATTTTATGAAAGTTTTATGTTTTGCAAGAACTGTCTCGGGAATCATGAAATATCATAAGATATGTTTTATAACCTTTTATCTTTAGAAGCAGAAATTTAAAAGTTATTCCTGGAAATTCTGTATTTCTTTAAGGTATCCGACTACGTTCGGAACCATGATTTTAAAAAAGCCCATAAATGGATAATTTTCATAGTGTCACTTAGATTAGAATACACGTATAAAATTATTTTAAGGACATTATGACAAAAGAAATTATTTAAATGCAATACTTATGCAAAAAATTAACTTAGAATAACCTTTTTTCAAAATGTTCTCCTTTTGTGAAAAATGCTTTTATTATAATAATATTTTGCCTGTATATAGCTCAGACCGCTTTACAGAGACTCAACTATGATTTTTGAAAAATTCACATAATTTTCAGTGTTACAACCCATTGAAATAGTTATCGGCGTTTTTTTTCTTAAAATTTCTCCCCTCTGTTGTCGTAAAACATGGATAAAGCCACTTCTATGTTATATATTTCAAAAATTCTAGTTGAGCCTCTGTACAGAGGTCAGAGCTATATACAGGCAAAATATTATTAGAATAGAAGCATTTTTTACAAAAGGAGAATATTTTGAAAATGGTTCATTCTATGTTCATTTTTTGATAAAATGTTGTACTTAAATAATTTTTTATTGTAATTCTATTTTTAAAACAATTTTATATACATTTTCTAATCTAAGAGACACTAAATATCATAAATATTATCCATTTATACACTCTTGCAAAATCTCGGTTCCGAACAAAGTCGGATACCGTAAGTTATTTTTTATTTTTGTAGTGTTAGAGCGAAACAAGAACAGATTCATTAAATACTTACATTAAACGCTTAAACATTACTAAAATCGTACAAAAAATTTCAATGGAGATCGATTTAAAAAAAAAGGTCTAGTAGCTAATGGTTCGTGGATTCATTTGCGTTCAGAACCCTCGAGATGTACGCGTTATAGCCAAAAATCATGGGACGTTTACGATTTTCAACATTTCTTTGAATTATTAGAGAAATGCTTGCAAAATGTTTTATAATCATGCAAAATGTCTTATAATCAGGTCAGGTAAAGAACATGCTTGAATATGCTTATTCTTCGTAATATTTTTATATTTGTTTGCACAAGATGTAAGAGATTGAATATATAAAAACAAGTAATATAAAAAAATATTTTAAAGTGAATTCCTACTTAGGTCAATAAAATTTTTTTTTATTTTCATTACTTTTTATTAAATAATTACAATTAATATAAATATGTAAATACATACGATAGAATCACAATAATAAGTTTCCTATCTATATATGGTGTTGGACTATTACTTTTGTTTATTACTATTTATTCATTCTTAGATCCCATTCTCAGAAATTAAGCCATCCCAGGTAGGACTCGAGATTACAACCTTTGGATTAGAAGCCCAACGCGCTATATCCATTACGCTACAGAGACACAACGAGCGATTTGTCTTTTTATATATGGTGTTGGACTATTATTTTTATTTGCTACTATTTATTCATTAATTAAATTTGATTAATGAATTAATATTTGACAACTGTATTAACATCAAATGTCATCCACTACAAGTTTAAGAAAGTGTTTTTGAAATTGAGTGTAGGAATAAAAAGTATTTTATTAATAATTGAAAATTTGAACAAGATATATATATATATATAGATATATAAGAAGAGTGTGAACTAATAGTAGGAATTGAATTAATCTGTTTCTTCTGTTTAAATGATGAGTTAATGGCAGTAACTCATTGTTAGGGGTAATCTTTAGTTTGATACTCATAAAAAACTGTAAATTTTCATTTTGACGACTTCTTGAAGCTATACCAATAATTTATAACCTCAGTCCAAAACAAGCATTAGCATAAACCAGATTATTACAGACACGAAGGAAAACACTTGGATTGGACTTCTTTTCATTCAGTTTTACATGATTTGCTTAGCTTTTTTTCAGGGATATAACTCCAAAATTTTGGAATGGTATTCTATTTTCTAGGAGGAAGCCAGAGGCCTTAAAAATGTCGGAGCAGATGCCTTAATACAGTGCTTCTCAAAATTTAAATATTTGCAACCAAATATTCAATTATAATTTTCGTCGCACGCC